CGCATGCGCATTTGCATAAATGTCTACACACACACATACACACTACACACAATAAAAAACATAGGAAATAGCAAGAGTGATTACAATAGTTCCTATTGCATTACATGCATAGGAACTAATAAAAATATAACAAACAATATGAGACATGACCCATTGTCTATATTAGAACACTTCTCATTGGGTAACGAAGTTACCCAATGTTACCCTTTTTGTCAAAAAGTGTCTATAGTGGTGAATTATGGTTTAGGTTTTTTTTAATAAATTTTCAATGTATGTGGAAAATGTAGTTGATTACCAAAGGTTACAATTTTTATTTTGAAGACTGCATGGTCTAGGAAGTGTACATTTTTTTATGGGGCAAGTTTCCAAGGGCGGGTTTTCTAGGGGTGGGTTGACTGCCAAAGAATGTTGCCAAAGTACGAGCCAGCGTGTTATTTGATCACAAGTGCGAGACATCGCAAGTATGAGCTAGCGAGCCATGATGTCACGACAATAGATACGAGATGTTACTCGTGTTGTGCGAGGTTATCGGCAGAGATTTGCGGAGTACAATTCAAAAAACTATAGGTCTAATAATGAATTATTGTGATATTAAATAGACAATGTTAGCTATCAAGGAGCGACATTGTTTTTCATTGGGACCTTTGTCCCTTCAAGGCTAGGCCTATACCATCCTAGCTAGTCTAGGCCTAGAGTAGGATAAGGCTAGCGCGACATGCGGACGTTGGTACGTGTTGGTCAGTCTACAAACGTCGCCTAAAGTAATTGATTTTACCCAGCAGAATGAAAGAGGGAAACTCCGCTTTTCAGTCGTCTTAGGCCCTTGTTTTTTGACAAAAAATGACCTTTCAGAGGTCAAATTTCTGTCAAGAATATGAATTGGCTGCTTCGCAGCAATTAGTAGTAAAAAGTATTATATCAATCAATTTCAAATGATCTTGATCACCAAGGGTATAATTTTAATGATCAATAAAATTAAGAGCAATACACCAAATACAGTTATGTGAGTAACTTTTTGGTTTTAACGATATTCTTTGTATTAGAACTTCAGAACTATAGAATTGATATCACTGCCTACTACTATGTATTATAAGCTTCAATTAAAATTTATGATAAAACTTCATTTTTAATTGTTGCACTTAAACTAAATTGCTTTAATCTTTGTCTTTAAACTATTTTAAAGGCTTCACCAAATTTAATACCAACATAATTTTAATGATGTGCAAACTAGATCACATTACCAAAATATTCAAATATATGTTGCAATGAGAGCTCAAAACAAAACAAAACATGCCCAAAAGTTTTTCCTATTTCTGTGAAATTTCTATTCATCTCATTCTCAACAAAGAGAAAAAAAAAATTCTTCAGTGTACAGTGTTTGTCAGGAATACTAAAAATATTCATATTGCATTGAATACAATCAGAGGAAACGCAAATTGAGTTTACATAGTAATGTTAGAGCTAAATGAAATTATCAAAACAAGCATCTTAGTAATATACACGACCTAAATTCATTGTTTGCAAATACAACTTGTAGATGTCATAACAATTAATACACACAGCCCTAGACATCTTAACTTAAGCTTCTAGAATACATTATAAGGTCTAACATTTGCAACACTACCCTATAAATTAGATAAAAACTAGAATGTTTGCGGAGAAGAGCGTAAAACCTGACCTCGTTCATGATTGTACTCGTAAAAAAACAACCAAAATCCAGGTCACCATGGTGACGGAGATGGAGACGTAGCTATAGCAAACAACAGAGAGATAACATTGCACTAAAAAAGATACTTCAGCAATAAAATTCATAGTTTTATTATATGATACATAAGTAAGTTTCACTTAGTTTACACAGTTCAATCAAATCCATATTTCATTTCATTATCTGATATCCTCCGTTGGGACGAAAAGCTGTGATTACTTCGATTTTAAATATTGGCTTTCAACTTAAATTCAGGGCATATCTAGCACCAACTAAAACCACAACAATAAAGAACAAAGCAATGAAAAGCATAAACTTTTATTATTCTTCTATGAAAAATCTGAGATACATTTATTGTTTAGAGAAAAGCATTGTATAGTAAAGTAGTAATTACAACGAGAGGTTGGGGGAATTTGGATGAAA